AATGAATTAATCTAGTAAATTCATCTTTAAACAGCTACAGCAGACCAAAGGAATGTTTACAATGAGCTAAGATCTGAGTTTCTCTTTTTGTTTTCCATATTCAGGTAACGACTGAGTTATTACCTGATCTTAACTGACTCAAAATCTGAGTCTGTTTAGATTAATCACAGGAAGGCATGGTGAATTTATTACTAACTTACAGTTACTAACTTACAGTTATTAATATTTACTCATAAAAAAAGCATAATTTAATCAGATCAGATTTATTAAATTCAGCTTTTCATATATTCTGAACAAATATAATCTCAGGAGACTTTACAAGACAAACAATTTCAAATTACATCAAGAAATGAATCAACCCAATAAAAAACAGAATTCTATTCAAACACATGCATTTTAATGAGCACTTAGAGAAGTACAAAGCAGACAAGGTCAGTTAATTGCACCCTTTAGTGCATCATTTTCAAACCAGGAAACACCCAGTTGAATCTATTAGGGTTCCTTCTTCAGAGCAAACTGTCAGTGGAAAGTTGATTTCTTTTAGTCACTTTTGGTATTTTATTTGTGTTTATATTCTAGTTCCTTGTTTCTTATGTTCATTGTATTTTATCAGTCATTTATTCCATTTTTTCAGCTCAACTTCAGTTACTTGCCCTCCCTCACAGCTGCACCTCGTTTCTAATCAGCCACCTGCTCCTTGTTCAGTAATAGACTCTCCAGCTTAAATGCCTCTCAGTTTCTCAGTTCTGGGTAAGATTATCGTGATTTTCCCACCAGTGTGTTTCTTTGAGATCATTTTGTGACGTTTTATCCAGAAATTTGTCCATGGACTTTAGTTTTTGAACTTTCCTGTTAATGTAAAACTGTTTTTTCTCACCTGCCTCCTCCCTAATCTTGGGTCCTGCTGTGCATAACAAGAAACTTTACTTTTATTTTAAAATAAAATGTCCACATATTGCAGTTTATTTAAATTGGACAATTAAGAACTGAGATGTATGAGAATTTGCATTTAGTATCTGGCTGTTATCACCAATTATAAATAAAAAGTTTTTTAAACTTGGGTAAAGTGTTTTGGAAAAAGTGTTCAGCAATTAGCAATATACTTTTATATCATGTTTAAAGGCATTGCTAATATATTAATGTTCAATTATTCATTAATCTTCACAAAAAAAGCTTAAATTAGTGCAAAAAAAAAAAACTAAATTTCAAGGGTGCACCCATCCTCCTACTGTCTAATAAGAAAGTTTCAGATTTTCTAGAAATGGTCTAGACATTTTTTTTTTTATGTGGTCCAAATAAACATTGCGATTTGCTTTGAATTGTTGCAAAACTGAATATATATCCAATAATATATATCATATGCATCAAACTAGAGGCCTACAGACCACCTCAGCCTCAGCTGACAAAAAGTGGTATGCCCAAAAGTAGAGGCATATGTTCTGTTAAAGTGTAAAAAGTGGCAGAAATCCAGTCCCATGTGCTCTTTGTAAATTAAATGGTGAAGTCAAAAGCTTCTTGTTAAAAACTTAGATAATCTGGGCTCTCAATTAGAAGTATATTAAATCCTACAGTGTCTTTATAGGGCTTTGCCTTCTGGATGCTTGTTTTTATGAAAGCTGGTCTGACTTTTCCAGATGCTCTTTGGGTTTTAGGGCAAAGTAAGCATATATGGATTGGTCATTTGTGAAATGTTATATTAGTGACCACCTACATCTTTCTGATCTACCTTTTGATTCCAAGTTCGATGTTTTTTAAGATTTTCTCAGGGGTTTTATTTGTCATTAGAAGTTTGTAGGGTCATAATAGTGAGATTCTGATTTCTCGTGAATCCATTCCTCCAACTTACTGTTGGATCTGTGGGTCTTTGCTTGGCTGAAGGTTCCCACAGTTTCAGCCAATCACAGATCTAAATGAGACAATACAGCATGTGTGGCAGCAGCACGCTGTCATTTTTGCCTGGGGCTTTATGTTTAGATCTCAAGGGAGCAGATGGAGCCGACACACAAAGCACTGTGTGAATGTGAGAGGGTGCTGACCCTGTAGAGAGAGCTTATCTGCCGGCTAATGCTGGGATCAATTACTTAAACTGAGCACACGCCCTTCAGCCCAGTACGCACGTGGTGGGTTAACGTTCACGATGATGGTTCTAAGATAAATCAAAAATAAACATTTTTTTAGATGAGGATATAAAATTTTATTCAAGTATTTTATTAATAAAGCACAAAACAAGGAAATCACCCAGTTTTTACTCTGTTATTTCCTGGGTATATTATGTTAGAGCAATGTTAATTCTAGTTTCCAAGTAATGATATTATCTATGGCATATCTATTCCATGAGATTAACAAGCTGATCTAAGTTTCCCACACTAAGTGTCTCTATGGCTATTCTATGACAGATGTTGGCTCTGTCTCCCTGGAGAAACACAGGCTCACATAACTAACCATGCAGGAGGGAAGCAACGCCATTGGCTGGCTCTGAATTTGAATTGAAACAAAATATGCCAGAGAGGACTGAACAGCCAAACTGAATTATTATGATCAATTCACAATTTCTTGTCTTAACTGTTTTAGAATTGTAACTTATTACCAAACTTTATGTAAAATGAAATTAGCAGCTATTATGGTGGTGGATCCCATTTTCTCTTTCCCCAAATCTTTCCAAACCATTTTAGGACGTAAAACTAAGTTAGAAACAGGAAGGACAATTAGCCCAGATCTTTATCAGCACTTCTAGAGTAGCTCCTTTTTTCTTGTGTTTTAATTTTTGAATTGTTTAGTAATTCATAAAACTTTACATTAACATTTAGGCAACATTATATCCTTTTTCTTTATAATCTAAAAACATTTTTATAGCTGACATGATTAATGCCTTGATTCAACATAGACAATATTTATGCCATTATAGGTAATTGGCTCTACTTTGCAGTTGGCATTCCTATTACTCACACTAAAGAAAAAACTGAAATCTAAATAAGTTATTGTCTCCTAAAATAAGGGATTTGTCTTGAATTGAGCATATAAGTGAGACACTGCCAATTGAACAAGACAATTTACATTTAAAATAAGAAAAAAACAATTGCGTTGTCATATTTCAAGTGCATATTATCTAATTAAAAGTAAAATACTAATTCCATTGGAAAATCATGTTATTTGCGTGCTGAAATTAGGGGAAAATTAATTTAATTCAAGTCCATCCATCCATTCATTTTCCATCACGCTTAGCCCAGCTGGGGTCACGAGGGGTGCTGGTGCCTATCACTAGCTGTCAATGGGTGAGAGGCGGGGTACACCCTTGATAGGACACACTCACACCTGAGGAGAAGCCAATTAACCTAACAGTCATGTTTTGGACTGTGGGAGGGAGCTGGAGTACCCAGAGAGAACCCATTCATGCACAGGGAGAAGATGCAAACTCCATGCAGAGAGACCCCTGAAACCTTCTTGCAACCAGGCAGCAGTGCTACCCACTGCATCACTATGCAGTGGGTAGCACTGCATAGAGCATTTGCTTAATATCCTTATTTTTAGAAAATTAGATATCAGACCTAATTGTCAATAATAATTTACTTTTTTTTCAAACAGTGGTATAAATAAATAATTTAGAGACATTTCTAGTATCTCATAACTTTTTTTTGCTGTAATCTTTTGGCGCTGTAAAAACCACCATTTCCCAAATGTGGGGCAGTAAAGGGATTTTCTATTCTATTCTATTCTATTCTATTCTATTCTATTCTATTCTAAAATGTCCTTCAAGCAGATTTATGATTCATCGTGGTGTGTCCTAAAAGACTGTTTAATTTGTGAATATTTACAAAGTTTACAGTTGATTAATAATTGTTTTCTAGATCCTTAGGTGTAAAAAAGGAATAATCAGATAAAGATAATTTATTATGCGCTTTAGTGCAAAAACTGAAGGACTTAAAGAAATTAATAAATGATCTAGTAGAAAACTATCCTTTTTTAAAGTCTTTATTCTAACCCAAAGACTTTATTGAAAAAGTCCCCTTTTCTACACTCTTGTACACTTTTGTATTTTGAATCCTGCCCCTAATGTAACACAAACACAACAAAAAGTTAAAATTTAATTTCTTATTAGAGATGAACACGTTGAACACAGTATACCAATGCCTCAAGTAGGAACAGTGAATTCAATTTTGAATTGTTACTGTATACAGCTGAAAAGCATTCATTGCAATTTTTCATGTGTTTAACCCATCTGTGTATTATTTAACTCTTTAGGATTAGGCAATTGCAGCTACTGAAGATATTTATAGTGTACTGAATCCAAATAGAGTCTGGTTCCTTTAAGGGAATTATCATCATAAGCTGTTAAAAGAAAGAACAAAACATCAATATATAATTTTCTTCAGGTTATCGCAACAGCATAGAATGAGCCAAAAGCATTTCATCTGGTAGTATTTGTTTATTCAACAAGGCACAATGAGCAATTTGAATTGTTAAAGCTCCAACAATGATGATACATCAACAACAATAAAACTTAATTTTGTATAGAAGTTATACAAGACATAATGCACTCATAGAGAGTAAAGAAAAAAACATCTGTCTTTATAAAAGACAAAGTACAGTATTTCAGAGGAAATTTACTCTTTATATGGAGTAAACATTGCTGATCTAATCAACATAATAAAGATCATAGCAAATGCTAAAATCACATTCACCATGATTATAACTAAAGAAAGTTGTTTTTCTTTAAGTTAATGCTTTCACAAATAAACTGTGGCAATGGCAAAAATAAATCTTTTTTAAAAAGATGTAGTATTTTTTAGAGATTGTTTCTTTTTACTATAAAAACAAGATCGTTTGTGGAAAAAGTAAAATGTTTCCCAATTGAAACGGATATCATTGTTAAGAATTTGTAATTAAACTTACAAAATACAGAACAATGAGAAAACTTTTCAAAATAAAAGCCTAATTATTCTAGTCTTAGAACAGACTGTAAACATTGAATAGAGTTAAGCTCCTCTCAAAAAGGATAGTTAAACCTTGATCACAAATAATCAAAAGATAATTAGTGATTAAAGTATTCCTACTACTGCATTATCAATAATGCTAGCGTAGAAGATTCATGCAACATGCATGAGAATATATATATCTTTTTAGAACTAAAGACAACGCTGCAGGCATTTTCTCTGGAAATGTAATTACAGAAAATACATATTCAGAATGAATAATATATTCTGTATAAACAAAATAAAATATAATCCTTTAAAAAAGAATTGATTCCAAGACTGTTTAAACCAACGTGGTCTAATTTTCTCTCATAGGAAAAACAGTCTGTAGGTTTCTAAAACGGCCTCCAGAGTGTGCTGCAGGTTGAATTCTTATTTTTACTGATTTCACTTTGTCCTGTTGAGCCCAAAAGAGATGCTTCTCTCAAGTTTTCCTCAGAGGAAGACTGTAGATTGTTGAAGTGGTTCAGCAGACATCTCTGGGACTGTGTCTTCAGATCATCTTTAGACAGGAAGTGCACAGCCTCTTCAACACATGTGGAATAGCCTTGATCAACAGCCACTGAGTTCACATCTGGATGTTTTCTTTCTTTCTGCAGTCGTCTCAGGAAGCAGACTGTCATCTCCAGGATGTCAGCTTTCTCCAGCTTGGAGTCTGGCTGCTGTTTGAGGAACTCTGGACCCAGGAGAGTCTTGAGCTGCTCGATGCTGCTGTTGATTCGCTCTCTGCGTAATTTTTCCACCAGAGGCTTTCTGAGCTGCAGAAACAAAAATAAGACTGTCAATTAAACTTACTTTGCTTTGTAGCATGGGTATCATAATTCAAAAACTCACATGAAGAATGACTCATATTCTATAAACTTCCTATTTACCTTGTGGTTCAGAATCTGATGCTCCTGGGAGATGGTCGTTGCTGTTGGGATTGAAGGTGCCATGCTTGGATCTTTGTGCTGTAGGGGTCTCTGTAGAGAGAATCTGATCTCTGCAGCTTCCACCCTCCTATTTATATTCCCACATCTCCATTTGAATGTGTGGGTCTCTGCTTGGCAGCAGTTTCCCACAGTCTGAACCAATCAGAAAGCTCTGCCGGACAATAAGGTATGTGGGGCGGCAACACACTCCCATTATTGCTGGAGGGATAATGGTTAGATTTCAGAGGGAGCAGGTGGAAGACGCTAAAAGAGCTCTGTGTGAATGTGGGAAAGTGGTGACCCTGCAGAAGGGCTGCCTGATGCTGAGATCAATATCTTTGACTGAGCACACACACATCAACCCAACACGCATCTGGATGATGTTTGTTTGTTAGCTTTTAATGCTGTATATACATTAAACACAATAACATATAGCATAAAATAATAATATAATTATTTATCGTTAATTATATTCCGGGAAACAGGTAATTGGAAATATCTGTGTTGTTTCAGATTGACCAAATTTTTAAACCTGAAACTGAACAGCCAAATTTCAGAGGATAAATAGTATCAATTGAATTACATTTTTTATGAATTATTTTTTATTATGTTTAAAAAGAATTAGATAGATATTTGAAAGATGCTAATATCCAGATGCAGACAGCTTAAATGGCGTGTGTCTCTTGCAGGCAAACTGAGAAGCAGATTGATCTGAAATGACCTGTTTCCTTCCTTCAGTGCAGCACAAAGGAATTTCTCAGACATATGCTGGCTGTGTGTTCCTAAAGCAACAGAGTGTTACATCACCAACTGTCTGAAGGGAAAGAAGCTTAGCTTTAGAAATAAGTAAAATCTTAAACACTGTTTGAATTCATGTTTACACTAATTTATTGTAGATTATGAAAGTTAAGTATCATCAATGAAGAGCTTTGATTTGAAGAAGACTTTGTGACGTGTGCCTAATCTGTTAAAGAAATTCTTTGGCTTCTTATGGAATAAGATCTTTGTATAGTACTGAAAAAAAAGGTACTTTATGAAAAAATATAGGGGCAAAGGAACTAAAAGTTAATATAAAGATAAAACACTTATTGACAAAAAAGGATTTAAATGTTAGAAAAGTATAAAAAAGTAATTGAATTTGAAATTAAAGTAATTCAAATTTCTATATAAGTTTACATTTAAAACAATTAAAAAGGAAGACACGATAACCTACAAATTAATCTTTGACTTTTATAAGGAAGCTGCACTGCAAGGTTTTTGTTCATGATCAGAGGGAGCTAATAGCTTCGGCACATCTGAGGTTATAGAGAGTTCATAACAGAAAACACTGAATCTAAAAATGGCTCCTTTGATAAGTTTGATCCTGAAAGCTAGATAAAAAAGAATGCAGTGATTTGCTTAAATAACACGCTAGAAGCAACTCTGACATTTATATTGACTTGAGAATGGAAAGTGTCTTTAATAAAGGACAAGATTTGCCGTTATATTCTTACTGACCATAGAACCAAAGCAAAGGTCTGATATATGATCCAGCTTCTTGGTAATAATCAGGAATCTTTGCAGTTTGGGTTTATAAGCTGTTGCTGCCATATTAATGTTTTTTTTTTTTACAGAGCTAAAGATACTATTACAATGATAACAAATAAAAAACACAAAAAAAAATTTTCTAGTGCTGTTTTTTTTTCTGGCTTTCATATTTAAAATTGGAATTCAGTGATTTGCACAACTCCAGATTCCTTTGCCTTATTTCCATTTACTCCACATCTTTGTAATCGTATTCACATTTTAAAGAAGAAAAGTCTTCATACAGCTGATTGTTAAATCACTGTTGTGAAGCTATGTTACGTTGAAAGACCACAATGAGCATTACAGTTATCTAACATGTGATAAAAGTGTGTAATATATCTAAATAAAGTTAACCTGAGAAGGGCCATTAAAGGGGGTCAATATTGCTTGCACAAATTTATAATTGCCCAATCATTAATGATAATTCCAGTCAGCCATGTACAAATTAACCATTGTAAATGATAATCCAGATAACCTCAACCAGTAGGTGATGATCAGTTTAAGAGTTTTAGTTTTTCTTCATCAGAAAATAATGGCAAAAACACATTGTTTTAATTTATTAAATAAGTTGTTGTATTGTAATTAGAAATGAAACACAAGGCTGTTTTGATAATAGATTATTTACCATCACACATTAATACGGATGATGATTATGTTGGGTGACTAATGTAAAAAAAAATGACTAAATGCGTAGCGCTTTTAAAACTGGTTATTAAAAAAGTAATACAACCTATCTAAAGGTTGGCAACGATTTCTTTTAGTGCTCAAATTCAGCTTTCTGTGTCCTATTTCCATTAACTACAGATCTTTGTAATCATATTCAATGTTTAAAAGGAGAAGCTAATATACATATCCTAACCCTCGTGACTTGAAATGTCAGGTTTTTTTTAATAGATCTCCCTTAGATTCTGATGTTTTTAATGGTTGACTGTGTTGCAGAACATAAAAAAAATCATATTTTACTGTTTGCAAAACTTTATCATATCTGTATTAGTTTTTATATTGAGAAAATCTAAAAAGGTAGTGACAGTAATAGTGAAAGTGGAGCAGCCCTTGCATGAGGGATGCTTCCATTTAACCTTCATCCTCAGGGCAAAGGTCAGACTCTATTGTCCCTCAGCGGCTCTGTGAGTAGGTTTATTCTGGTTTCCCACACTCTGTCCTTTCACCACATTCACCCAAAGAACAATACAAGTGTGTCCATCCCAGACATGGCACTATTAACCTCCATTTGTCCAAAATTCTCTGTGAAGATGCACAGCATTGGCACATGTAATTCTTATACCGGTAAGTTGTTTTTATTTCATTTATAGGAAAATATATTTTTGATCATTAGATATGTTGTAAAAATTGGGAAAATCTGTAGTTCCTATAAAGAAATCATTACATAAACTACTAGACTAATTGAAATGTGTAAACTTATTTAATCTTTTTTTATAGGCCCTGCCATATGAAACACTGACCTCCAACCAATAGGCGATAAAGACATTTAACAACAGTGTGTAGATCATTAAAAGACCCATTTCAAAGACAGCAATGTAAAAACATCTAAAAAAAAAAAAAAACTAACACTAACCTCTCAGACCATGTTCACAGAAAAGTAAAAACAAACACTTGTTGATTCTAAAAACAGATTATTTAAACGTATTCAAAACAAAGTTCACATTGTACCTTTATGTACAAAATACATTGTATAGGACAATTTTTTTTTTTTAAATCTTTAAATAGGTCGTGTATAAGTCCTCAGAAAAAAAGACCTTTTCACATCTTGCAGCAAAAAAATTTACTTTTAAAGAGTTTATCAAAATGATTAGAACTAAAAGTTACCTTGATGTGAGTCATCAAATCTTCAGTATCTTCAAACCAAATAAATACTTCAGAATAGAAAAACTGTTAAATCCTGAAAACAAACTTTCTCTCATCAAGTAAACGAAGATTTACATATTATAAAAGAACAATTAATCACAATTAAATGACGAAGAATGGTCAATTAAAGTAACAAAAGAAAAGCTGTTGCATTGATTTGATTATATTCCCACACTCTAAAAACAAGTGGGTCAGAAATAACCCAAACTGGGTTATTTCCGGCCAAACTGCTGGGCTATTAAAGCACCATCCCAGCAGTAGTGGATTTGACCCAGCGAGATGATGGGCTGATCTTTTATAACAAATGGGTTATTATATTCTACCAAAATGATGGGTTGAAATAGATGCAAATTTGGATAAATTCAACCACATATATTTGTTAATAGCCTCTACCCAAATGCTGGGTCAAATTGTGGTTGTTTTAACCAATGTGTTACTTCTTTACCTACATGCTAGGTGAAATTAACCTCAGATTTTGATTGTTTCACTAGCTACATATATCTATTCAGTAATCTTTTTAAATCCTTGGTAAACCTGTGAAATACCTCAGATTTCTTCTTAGATATTACAGTACAATCACTAAGAAAATAAATTGCAATAGACTATTCATTCCTATGTCAATATACATGCTCAATTTGGTAAATTTGTAAAGTATGTTTTATGTAATAAACAAGATGTATTACTACTCAAAACCCACATTACATAAAAGGAAGTAGTAAAGTTAGAACAAGAACTTGGTAGGGTTATTGATGACGGCGTCTGGGACTCAGCATTAACT